CTACCGTGTGTAGCCAGCAGCCAGCGTGAGCGGCCAGCAGCCGCAGTGAGCGGCCGTCCAGAAGCCGGCGACTGATCTGCCTCGCCCGGGAAGAGCACAGTGGTGGTGCCAACTTGGGCCAGTGAAGCAACGTCCTCCACAACTAGACTGAAGAAAAAAAGGACAGCAACTTGTCTGTTCCCCTTCCCCCAATTCCCCAGGGCTGTTCCCATCCCCCCAATTCCCCAATAAAAATCTTTTAAAAAAATTAATAATGGCCACAAACTTCCCAAAATTGATACAAAACATTAATCTATGTATCTATCAACAAACGCCAAGTAGAATAAAAAATAAATTAAAAAAATTTAAGATAAAGAGAATATCTTGTAAGCAGCAAAAACAAACAAAAACACTCATCATTTACAAGGGAGAAACAATAAATTCAATAGTGGACTTCCCATTTGAAAGAAAGGAGGCTGGAGGGCAATGGAATGATACAAAAGAATAAAAGAAAAACAATTGTCAACCAAGAATTCTGTATCCAGAAAAACTCTCCTTCAAATATGAAGGCAAAGAGGAGGGTGGCGGGCGACTTTACAATGGAGAAACTTGACAAACACAACCCTGGCCAAGTAATCAAGGTCAACATCATCAGTGATAGCTCATGTTAATAACATGTACCCCTGATATGATGTGTTAAGAACAGTACTTTACCTTTACCTCTGTGGTCTTCTTCTACAGACCCCATTACCCCTGTGTAACCATGAGAAAAACATCAAACAAACTCAAATTGAGGAACATTCTGAAAAATACTCTACCAGTACTCCTCAAAACTCTAAAAATCATGAAAAATAAACAAAATCTGAGAAACTGTTGCAGACCAGAGGAGGCTAAGGAGACATGATGACTAACTATAATGTGGTATCCTGGATGAGATCCTGGAAAAGGAAGAGGATATTAGGACAAAACTAGTGAAATCGGAATAAAGTGTTGAGCTTAGTTATAGTAATGTATCCCAATGTTAATGTTTTAGTTGTGACAAATGTACCATATTAATGTAAGATGTTAATAATAGAAACTGATGAGTTATATGGGAACTCTCTCTATATAGCTTCTCAACTTTCCTGTAAATCTGAAGCTAGTCTAAAATTAAATTATTTTTTAAAATCTCAATAGATGGGTTTAAAAGGAGATGACATACAACAGAAAAAAAGATTAGTAAAGACAAGTTAAAATAAAACAAACTCGTGAAGGTCAGAGAGAAAAAAAGAATGTAAACTACACACACACACACACACACACACACACACACACACACACACTCTCACAGGCATATGAGACAAAATGAAAATGTTAACAGAAGTATAACAGAGGTCCCAGAGGAGAGGAGAGACAGAATAGGAAAGAAACAATGTATAAACCAATAATGGCTGAGAAGGTTACAAAACTGATGAAAGACACCAACCCACAGATTTCAGAAGCTCTACAAACCTGAAGCAGCAAAAAAAACCACAAAGAAAACCACTCCTCAGCATATCATTCTAAAATGCTAACAACCAAAGGGCAAAGAGAAAAACTTAAAAGCATCTGAAGAAAAAAATTCCATCATTTTCAAAGGGAAAAAAATGTAAGATTGATAGCTTTCATCTCAACAAAAATGAGAGCCAGAAAAATAACAATGATATTTTTAAAGTATGAAAAAGAAATTAATTCCAACCTAGAATTCTACACACAGCTAATGTACCCTCCAAAAGTGAATGAAAAATAAAAACATTTTCAGACAGTTAAATGAAGAGAATTATCATATAGCCACACAGCCCTTAAAAGTTGATGTACGTTTATATATTTATTGATGTGAAAAGAAGTTCCTGAATACTGGTGAATGGAAAAAACATATAAATAATAACACATATAAAATTGTGCATATAAACCTATACATATAGAATACTCTGAAAAAAAATCTTATCACAAACGATTAGCAGTGATTTCCTCTTTTTAATATGGAAAGATTTTTTTAACTGTACCACTGTACTGTTGGATTTTTTGACATCTTTTTTATTGCTGTTCCCAAAAGTATTTTTAAACATCTAATGATACAAATATATGTCAAGTGGAAAATACATATTAAAATAATTGTGTATGTGTGTGTAGACAGTATATAAATGTATATCCAAAAAATAAATAACAGAAGGCAACACACAAAAATATTAACAATGGCTCTGTCAGGATTGTGAAATTATGAGCAATAACTGCCTTTTTCGCATTTTAGTATGCTTTCCATTATATATAGTAAATATTACTTCCAATTTAAAACATCATTTTATAAAAATCCAAAGTCATTTTAAAAGCCATCATCATCATAACTGCATTGATAACATTGTTACATAAAATTCTTTAATTTTCAGCATCAAACAGCCACATAAGTTTTTGAAAGCCACTTATATTTAGCACAAAATCCTCTAATCTATGGTTGTAACTGCAAAATTCAAGGCAACTACTATAATAACACTTCTATCATTACCAACGTAATTTATTTTTAAAAGCAAAACTATTTCATCAAAGACTATGGCAAACTAACCTATACGGGAGTTAGCCATATAGCTTACAGGGCGCTTATTCATATAGTTTGATTTAAAAACAGAGTGTCATTATCATTTATGAAGCTCCTGTACATTTGGCATTTTAAAGATACATTATCTCTAATTTTCAAAGCAACGATGCAATGTAAGTATAATTATTTACATTTTGAAAAGCATAACATTCCAATTGCTACCAACTTGAAAGTAAGGCATTTGAGAAACAAAACCCCAAAAAAGTGACATTTGTTGATATAAATGGTGAATAATGAATGACAAAATGCTAGGCATTATACTGGATATTTCATATGTTATCTGATTTTTTTCTTCACGAGAACACCGAAATTTAGATGAGGAAATTAAGGCTCAGCTAATAAGTAGCAGAGCTGAAATGAAGATAAAATGATTCCACAACCCATACACTGTACCATAACATCAAGTTGTTATTACTAATTCAAGAAGCTTCCTAATACATTTTCTTATTAATGAGGGATAATTACTCGGGTTAACACGCCAACAAAAGAAATACAGTCAGTGCAGTTGGCCAATCACAAGACGAATGATGGTATATTTTATATGAATTGTCTATGCAACTACAAAACTAACTTAATAGTTTGTTTTTTCTCCACATTTCAAAATTCACAAAAAGAATAAGATGAAGGAGAGTCTATGGCTTTGCAGAGTCTATTACCACTACTGTAAATTAACCACACATGTGTCTTATTGCTAATGACTGAATGGTACAGTCTAGTGCAGGGGCTGGCAAACTTCTGCGATGGAAGAGCCAATCCTGTCCCTCACAACAATTTAAAAATTATTCGAGAGCCATAAAACAAATGATATCATCATTATGTGAATAATATCCTTTAAAAATTTTATAAATGAAACTATGATAGTTTTATTTTCATTTTCAATTTTACTTCAGAACCACATGTACATACCCAAAGAGCCGCCGTTTGCCGACCCCTGGTCTAGTCGCATCAGTGAGCACCACGAATGGAAGCTATTATTATTCCTATTATTATCATCAAGAATACATTACTTCATTACTGCAATTAATATTACACTACCAAAATTGATAACAGAAATTTTCAAATAAATGCCCACACACATCTACTATCTATACATATGCACACATACATACACACACGTCCACTTTTCCTGCTTACCTAAAGACCTGCAAACTGAAACAGTTGCCTCTTCCAAGAGCTTCAACTCAGTACTGGAGAGATAGAAAAAAGATAATTAATAATTACAACACTAAATAAGTACGCACTCATCAGTTAAAGGAATATATAAAAATAAAGAGAAAAATAACTCAGAAGAAAAATATCGTATACAGCAGTGAACAACAAAATCAGCAAAATAAAATGAAGCTTCTATTTTCAATGTATTTAGGAAATTTACGATAATTCTCAATATGAGATTCTGAAAACAGAAGGGCTGAGGGCACCCTGTCTTCCAGGCATTGACTGGGACAGGGAGGAAGGGTGGGGTTGGGGGAACTTAGAAAAATTCAATAAAGGCACTCCAAAATACAGAGCAAAAGGCAGGGGCCCCATCTGCCCATCTGTAAGGGTCGTACTGATCATGGGGGTTACAGTTATTTAGAAAAATGCTAGTATTTTTAGGAGACAGGGCTTGCCTTCCTTCGCTTCCTTTCCTTTCCTCCCCTCCCTCTGTCCCACCACCCATCCATTCTAATGGGAGTGAAAGGGAAGAAAGGAAGAAACATAGATAAGCAAATTGAGACTTCCACGGAGTTTAACATTCCAGGAATCGAAGGTATAGGAAGAACAAGAACCAGCTTCAGAGTCGGGTGACTGGGTTAAAATTTATGTGTTCTTTTCTACCAACACATATGGCACAGCAAATCCTCCACATGATAACTCTTCTATGGCTACTTCAAAAATCCCTGCCTCCTAGGGTTCATTGCTGTTGTTGATGAAGCACACTTTTAAAAAACAGAAGATCCATAAGCATTCAGGCTTCTGACAAGAAAACTTTAGAGAAACCGTGAAAGGACACTAATAGCTTTAGCTAGCTCTAGAACTGCGCTGTCCAGCACGGCAACCACTGGCTACATGTAGCGTGAAATGTGGCCAGTCCAAATTGAGATGTGCTGGAATATAAAATGCACATCAGATTTCAAAGACTTAAAACAAATGAAAAATACTTCATTATTAATCCTTAAGTTCATGGAGTTATAATATTTGGGATGTGCTGGGTTAAATATATTATTAAAATTAATTTCTCCCGTTTCATGTTACATTTTTAATGTAGCCACTATAAAACTTTCAATTATATGTTATGTCTCACCTTATACTCGTATTTCTGTTAGAGTCGTTCTAGAACCTGTCTCCCAGCAACTGAAGACAGTATCATGTATAAGAAGCATTATACATACATACATACATACATACAAACAGAGCTTAAGACCCACTAATTACTTCAGTGGATATGCCATTACCTTAAGAATTTCAAATTATATTTATAGTTTAAAAGATAAATAACTTTTCAAAGTGTAATTTTTTAGCTTTGTCTAAGATTAAATTTTTTTCAGCCAAAATAACCTAGAAATAAGCCATTATCACCGTATTAGATATTTTTAGTGTCTGCGTGCCTTTCAAGTCTCTCTCCGTCCTCCAATCCCTTCCTTCTATCTTCCCATCTCCCCCTCAGGGGTGAGCAGAGGCAAGCAGGCTTGCTCAGCATAGCCCCACTCACTCCATGGCCACAGCTGACTGGATCAGGGGTTGACATCTAATGTAAGCCACACCAGTCTTGGGGAATTTGGAATTGAGGTAGAAAGACAAGTTTTCCTATGGCTGGACCTTGGCTGCAAAGCTGAGGGTCATGGGGAGCCATCCTCCACCCGATGAGCAGCAGAGAAAGCTGGCTAGTAAGAAAGACGAATAAGAAGCAGCAATGAACAGGAGGCACTCTCAGGATTCCTGTTGGCCTTCCGAACCTTGGGACCAGTTCTCCCCGAGCCTAGCTGTGTCTGATCCTGGATTCTATGAGACATTCCTGTCTCTGCATCACATAAGCCCCTCTTTCTGGCATATGTTAAATCAAATTGATTTTTGTTAATAACCAAAAGAGTTCCAATTAATAAATCACTCTGGTCAGATTTAATAATACACATTAGTAGTTGGCAAGAAGTGGGAACTGTGAATTACTCAGTTTATTGGTTACTCAGGCAAAAAAAAAATGTGAAGAGGTATAAAATGCAAAAGACTGTAAAGAGCTTTATGAGGTTAATAACTAGACCACATGCATAAAATCTGCTTCACTGCTGCTTCTACTTTCTTCAGTCAATAACACTCTCTTAAAACTGGCTGGAACCAAGAGCTTCAACTATATACATGTGGCTACAACCTTCAAAAGCTTCTGAATTTCTTTATTCAACAACTATCGCCTGGCTGCCCAGGACATGCTGGGCTCTTTGAAAGATGCTGTCTCTGTCTCCAGGCTACACAGAGGAACGAAGCAGCAAACAGACTGCTCAGTGCAGGGGAAGTATGGTGATTAAGCCCAGACCTGTGCATGAGCTCATGGGAGGTGCACCCAACCTATGCTAGGAAGTCAAGGAAGACATCCTGGAGGAAGAAACTTTCTGTTCTGAAGGAGCCAGAGAAATCTGTCAGGCAGACAAAAGGGGAAGGCTTTCCAGACACAAGGAGTAGCAGATGCAAAGGCATGGCAGTCACAGAAAGCCTGGCACATTCGGGGAAGCGGAGGTTAATCAATGCTGGAGAATGGCAAACTACAAGCCTGGGGAAATAAACTAGATGGCTGGAGAACGGAGTTCAGTTTCTCAACTTGTTCTCAACAGAAAGGTATTGAGTGTTCCCAAAACAAAAACGAAAAGAGGGTCCTGATTTGTTAATACAATATTAGCCTTAAAAAAGGATGAATTCCAACATGTATCAGTGAGGTTGGATTGCACATGGCTTCTTCCAGGAGCCTTCTTTGATCACCTAACACTAGGTGTGAAGCCTATTCTGCCTCAAAAGCACCCAATCTTAAAACTGGGCACACGGTAGCAAGGTTGCCCAGTTATTTGTCTGTGCCCCGCCCCCAGATTGTGGGTTCCTTGTTCATCACAGCGTTCCCAGACTGGCACAACACAGGCACTTAAGAAAAATGCACTGAATGAATAAATGCCTTTGTCAGACACTTCATTACCAGAGGGAAAGTTAACTATTTCCCCATCATTCAAGAAATCCTTCACACTCTCCAGCTCTTAAGGCAAGATCCGTCCTCAAGTTTAAATTTTTATTAAAATATTGTTAAAGGCATTTATTTGTTTCCAAATGAAAAATAATATATCTTTTTGAAGCAGTCTGATTTCTTGTCATTTAATGTGAAGAGGTCAGAAACAGCTGGGCATTATCCCACCTCTCTTGGAAGGCTCCCTCTTGTGGCGAGCCAGCCAGCACCCGCCATTCTGTGCTTAGGCCTGTCAGGCCCGAGTCCTGTAAACACGGCCACCATCTGAGACAGCAGCAAGACAACTGCCTCCTCAACAATCACTACCTCGAGTCAGAAGCATCTGGGATGCCCACACTATAAACTCCGTGAGAACAGGGACAATGTCTCATCCACCCATGCATCTCCCACCATGCCTGGTCCAGTGGCTCAGCTGGAAGAAAAACACTTGGTAATTACACATCAAATAAAGGATTCACAGATCTCTGTTTGTTGCAATGTCCCTGCAATTTCTGCACTCTGAAGCGTTACTTATTTCTACAAAGAAAATCAGCCAGGCACATCCCTGCCAAAAGCAACACACTTATAATAGAATTCCTTTCCTCCCATCCCTCCATCCTCCAATTTTCTAAACTTCTTGGAACATTTTAAGAATAATCTTCTTTCCTATTTGCTTGATTTAGAGCTAAAATGAGGTGGCAAGCAACTGGGATGGCTGGTAACTGTTGCTGCATGTTATAGGCATCTATGCACAGCACTGCTTTAGTTAAACAAATGAGCTCAGATGTTCTGGCAGCAGGCAACTAACAAATCATCATTTGCAGTAAATAAAACTAAAATGGGGCTGCAGAATATGCCAATGTTTCCAAGATAATTACAATTAGAAACCGAATGGTGTTTCTGAAGACAGATTTGGGGCACTGGAAGCATGCAAACGGGGCAAAATGGCAGCAGTCAGGTATTCATCCCGATACAGGTTAAATAAATTAGTACCACACAGAATACTTCACACTTAATATATGCGTACATAAACTCCACCACTCCAGGTCAATTTGAAAATGTCAATAATGGGAGGCTAGGGATAAATACTTAAAACTAGTAATCTCTTAATCAAACTTTTGCTAAATGAGCTAAATCTAGATAAACAACCATATTGATCCAATGGCTCTGTCTGAAGCAATCCTTGTAAGCAACAGCCTATCAGGTTCTTCCTTCTCAGGGCTTGGCCACTCTATCATTCCAGCAGCAACGTAAACAGATGGAGTCACAGAGCAGGAGCTGCAGCTGGCTGGTGACAGCCCAGCGAACAATGAGACGGGTGGGACTGGAGACCTAGGCCCAACGCCCAAGAACAACACACACATACGTCACAAAAAAATGCGAAGCCAGTCTAGGGATTTTTCCAGTTTTAAGAACCTTCAGGGCTTCTTCCCTGAAAGTAATTCAGCGAGGAAGTTGTTAAAATTTTCACAACTATAGAGAAGTTTTTAAACATTACCACTGTAATCTCTGGGCTATAGTCTGTTCCCTCCCTTACTGATTTCATGAAGAGAATCTCCCTCAGAAGAGATCTGTCATCCGCCTCAGCTTCACTCTCTCCACATGCTTCTAATATGACTGCTTAAGCAACAACATTGCCCAATAAATACTAATAATACAGCTGAATTCTTTCTGTTATATCTCACATAACCAATGTAATCTATGCCACCTCTGCTGAGTGCACCAACATACATACATCATCACAAAGTTAGGAAACTGGAAAATGCAGGTAAAATAGAGCAAAAGCGTGACGAACCTTAATGTCATGTTAAGGAGCCTGAATTTTATCTTACATAAAATGGGAAGCCATTAAGCACAGAATAAAAAACATACACTAACAGACACTTGAAGCAGCAGCTAGGCGCCCCAGGTATACAGTGGTTAAATGTCTGACCCTGGCTACAGCCATCTTGAGTTTTTTTTGGGGGGGAGGGGGAGATGTTAATAATAATAATAATGCCTCTATGA